TTTGTTCGGTCAGAACCAGATCTCCTGAATATTTTGTTTTTTGACTCATGTCAGCACATGCTTTGGTTAATTTTTAAGAGCAATATGAACTTGACACGAACATTTTGAAATTTTTTCAATTATTGTTACTTTTTGATGGTAGTCTTCATAGTGACGAGGTGGCTTTGGTGATTATTGTTGTGTACGATAGAATATGGTTCTTATTGTCGAATATTATGGAAAAGTCATTGATCTTGTTGAAGTTGGCCGAAATTATGAATATTCGCTTGGTCCTTGAAGAAAGAATGGGAAAACATAACAAAATATATTTGCAGTCTCATTAACAGTATCGACGTTTACAGACAGTTATAGCAGCCGGGGGAGGCAATACAAAGTATTAGAGTATTTTTTACAAGTTTTTTGCTTATTTGTTCACTTAGTTAATACAGTTATTTTTTTTCATAACCTTAGTTCTGTTAGTGTTACTAATATTTATTAAAACCAAGCCTGTATCGTTACTTTTTAACGTTTTTTATAATCTAAGAGTTCTAATCAGTGTCAATGTGACAATACGACAATAATCACCAAAACCATCAAATGATATTAAAAAATAACATCATAAATTAATGATAGTTGAAAAAATTGCAAATTGTGGCAAGTTCATTTCGCTCGTAAAAATTAACCAAAGTATGTGTTGACATAAGTCAAAAAACAAAATGCTCAGAAGACATGGTTCTAATCGAAAAATAAAGTTTTGGGAAAAGTTACCGACGAAATTATTGCACAGGGTGTTTTAAAGTTAAGATAAAAAACAACCCTTCAATTAACCCTGTATGATAAGCTAAATAAATACTAAAGTTTATAAAAAAACTGAGTTTGTGATTTAAAGTTGACAACAAACAAACAACGCTTTATTGTACAAAAAGCCAAAACGGCTTCATCGACAAAGCACTCATAAAACAAACAAAAGCACAAAGAAAATACAAACAACAAAAAATACACAACACAAATAATACGATTCAAAAAAATTTAAGTCATTAAAATAACAAAAAGAATATACATGGACAATTGCAGAACAGTACGCAGTAAATAGATATAATTTTAGAGTTATAAAATATTAAATACTTGACCTTTGACCATGTGTGAGATGATCAAAATAAAAATTATAAATAAAATTCAAAATTGTTCATAATTAAACATCAACAAAAAAGTCGTTTACCGTATATAGGGCTCTCTCCAGTAAGTATGGTTTTAGAGCTTTGCGAAATGCGGGAAAGAACGAAAGCGACTTGATATTCAAAGGCAGATGATTGTACATTTTTTTGGCATTGTACAGTATTGAACCTTTAACTAGTTCTGAGCTCGGGGTTGGCAGATAAAGATCGTGCTCCGCATTCCTAAGTGGATAGTTTTGAGATGGCTTTTCGGGAATAGCAGATATGTGCTTGCGGATCACGCAAACGGATTCAAAAATGAATAAAGAAGGAAGAGTCAGTATTTTGAAATTTTTAAAGAAATTCTGGCAGTGTGAGTTCTACTGTTCAGTCCCAATAAATACCGAACTGCTCTCTTTTGAAGTCTGAAAATACGATCAAATTTTGTTGCGCAGCAAGTACCCCAGAACGGAAGGGCATAACGAAGATGTGACTCAAAAACGGCATAATAGGCTATTTTAGAGGTTGAGAAGTTAAGTTCCTTAGAAACTGGTCTTAGCGCAAAACAGGCAGCGCTTAGTTTCTTTGATAGAGCTTCGATGTGAAAGTCCCATTTTAACGAGTTGCCTACAACAAGTCCTAAGAATAGAGTCCAGGACGTCAATAGTGGTGTTATTAAGTACAAAAGGTTGTATAGTACTTTTATATGACAAAACTTTAGTTTTTGATAGGTTGAGGCATAGGAGATTAGAATCGCACCAAGATTTAATGGTGCGTAAGTCACTGGATATAGTATCATATAGTGCCGCAACATCTGGGCCGCTCCAAGTGAAACTAGTATCGTCCGCAAAGAGGCAGAAACAAAATAGGGCCAAGTACTGAACCCTGAGGGACACCACATTCTATAGGCTTACAAGAAGACATAGACGTATCAATCCTCACAAGCTGCCTTCTGTTGCCAAGATATGACTTAAGCCATTCGAGCGGCACTCCCCTGAAACCATAGTAATGCAAGTTGTTAATTAAGATATTATGATTTACACAATCGAAAGCCTTAGAGAAATCACAGAAAATTGTAGCTGTAGAGTGATGGTTATTCAGGCTAGAGTATACATTATTAAAAAGGTCGAACATAGCATCATTTGTGCAACTGTTACTTAGAAATCCAAATTGATGGGTAGTAAGTATTTTGTATTGAAGGAGAAAAGATATAAACCTTTTTTTAACCAATCTTTCAATGATCTTAGATAATGTGGGCAGGAGTGCAATTGGGCGATAGTTCGAAGCTTCATCTTTATCTCCTCCTTTATACAGAGGAATAATTATTGGTGTCTTAAGGCAGTTTGGAAAAACTCCTTTTTGGAATGACTCGTTAATTAAAGTAGTAAGATGGTTTAATGGAATGGCATTCAGGAAGTTCAGAGAACATTTTGAGAGTAAGCCCATCAGTCCCAGATGAGGATTTGTTTTTAATACTATTAATTGTACTACGGAGCTCATCTCATGCTACCGGCGTGAAGAAGAAACTGTGTAAATTCTCATTTGCTTTAGGGAGATATGAAAGTGAATCATGAGAAGGAGTTATGGTGTTTACTAAATTTTTAGCAACATTAACAAAGTAAGTGTTTAAATCTTCAGGTGAATTAAAGACTGTTGATAGATCTATATACAAATTGCTAAAAAAAATCATGAAAATAGGACTGAAAGTAAAAAATATATAAGACATGCTTTAATCTTGACGAAAAAGTGTTCCCTTGCGTTTTTTGCATTTAAGTGTATTTTAGATTTGATTTTTGTAGTGACTATAGTGTACATGGTTTTGTCCATCAATCCCACCAGCTTTAGATGCCTATTAAGCTCACTATAAATGCCTTGTTAGTAGACATGTCTTTGCTTATCAGGTCTGTCATGATTTTTGGCAAAAGTTCCACTATGAATTTTTCGCATATTTCTGCCTTGGTAATTTCTCTTTTCTATCCTTTTGTGATTGCTGTCTTTTTCACTTATTTGATTTGGTAGTCAACTAACTAACTTACTTAATTGGCTCTATTTAAACAAAATTGATCTCGTAACATGTCCAATGAGCTAAAAATAATAAACGATGCTAGACAAATACACATACAAATTATCATACACATACATACAGAGAAACCCAAAAAATCTTTGCCGTCACTGGCCAAACGCCGATCTTGACGCTGACTGGCTAAAAATAAATCGATATCTATCGCCAAAACTTAACTAAGCGAAAAAACAAAAACAGTAAAATGGAAATGAACGACCTACGTCACTTAAAGGTTCTCTTTATTGTTATTATTATTACCACGGTAAATTAACGGTTTGTTAATTAGAAGTTATTTATAGGTTCGTTGGTATTGGTTTAGTTCAAGTTCAAGGTTCAGTGGCGTCATAAAAGAAAAGAAATTATACAGGGTGTCCCAGGCTGAACGTGCATTAGAAGTTTTTAGAGAACTACGATATCTAGATAGGACATTTTTTGCATATCATAGTTTCACAACGAGATCTATCGATTAAAAATATTTTCAATATGGCGGCACTTCCGGAAATACCGGAAGTTGAACTTGATTAGTTTTCTTATATTATGTTTATTGTTTCGCCAAAAAAATAACTCATATATTGTTTCTTTTCAACTAAAAAGACAATTTCTCGTCGTATCGATAAGCCAAAAAAGAAAAACTCGAAATAATGACGACAGGAATCTATTTAAAAAAGAGAGCGGGAATATGAGAGCAAACCATCGTATAGATTGCCGCAGGACCGGTCGAGCCAAGCCAAGCAGCAGCCCCTAATACCGACGGTATTTTCTTTTGTGTCGCTACCCGGGGCGGTTTTCGGTTTTGTATAGGTGAAACGGGGGTAGATTAATAATTTGCCGGATCCTGCCAGGAAAGAAAGATGTCAGGGATGGGGTTGGAAGCTATAGGGGAAAATTCCGGGGTGTTTTTGTGGCAGTCAGGGCGAAGAATGAAGGATATCTATCGGGTATAAGGGTGGACTTTTGTTGTCAGGTATTAAAAAAAAAGAGTTTTACTTATGATAAAGTTTCTTTCTGTAGAATATCTTCCTTTTTTTCTCGGGGGTAATAGATCGGGGGTAAATAATATCAGTAGGTAAATAATTAAGTATTTTAATGATCCAAAGAATAATAGGAATTGAAATTATAAAACGATATGTTACGATAAAACCCGGTCATTATACCAACTAACTGAGCATTTTAGGTCAAAATTAAGGCTTTCAAAACGGTCAAAATTAACAAAACGCAGATAATCACTAAGAGAGTAAAAATCATTTAATTATTGTTAATGCAAACCTGGATTTTTTACTTCACTAATCAGTGCTTTTCTCAGCTTCAAAATCATCATCATCTTCATTATAATTTTCTGCTTATTCAACCATTTCTACTATGGAGAATAATTTCTTTACATATTATATACAGGGTGATTCCTGTAAGTCGGTCATGCTTTCGAGGAATGATAGGGGACGTCGAAATATTAATTTTGATATAGCACACTATGGGTCGGAAATGCTTCTTACGCAAGATACAGGGTGTTAAAGTTTTTGAAAAATTAAAGATAAACTTTAATAGTTTTTTAACAGTTGAAGGTATCGTTATAAAATTTTATTATAGGAGTGTGCCTAACAGAGACACTTTAAATGTAAAAAGAAGAGGTTTTAGTTTCAACCGGTAGTCTTTCAAATTATGTACATTGCCTTTCCGCATATACCCATAAAATATTTTGTCTTTACATCTTTCCGTTTTCATATAATCAACCGAGGCGAATGAGGTGCGCCACCTTGTATAACTATCTTATACTAAACACTATTTAACTCCTTTGTTTTTCTATCTAGGTTCCATTGATAGTCGTGACTCTCCAGGCAGTACCCTTAATCCAGCTCTGAATCCAGCCTTTGCACTGGATTACAATGATCTTCCCGAAGAAGTGTCCCAGTCCAGTACTTACCAGAGCTTCCAGAGGAGTGGGAGGATCACCCCACCAGCCACAACGATTCCAAGGTTCAGGAAATACTGCGTGGACGATTTCAACTTTTTGAAAGTACTTGGAAAGGGAAGTTTTGGAAAAGTAAGTGTTATATTTGCCTTACAACCACATAACCACTGTTCACTTTTATAAACATTTTCACTAAAATGACGAATACACGATTTTAATTTAGTATTAATATTCAAAATATGCTTTGGAGGTCCTTCTTCAATAGTTTTTAGGGTTCCGTACCCAAATGGGAACCAAGCCAAAAACGGGAACCCTATTGCAATGATAATGTAAACTTACACAGTTTCTTTTTTTCGCCCGTAGTTTTAGAAGAGCTTTGCAGTACAATTAATACCATCAAAAATAAATCCTCTTCTGGGACCGACCGGCTAACTTTAAAAATCTTTTCGAATCTGCCAAAAAGCACTCTGAATCACCTAACAACTTTAATAAACATGTCGTTCCAAAATTGTATTTTTCCAAAATGTCTTAAGACGGCAATAATCATTCGTCTGCATAAAGGAGGAGACAAAGATGAAGCTTCTAACTATCGCCCAATTGCACTCCTTCCAACGCTATCTAAGATCATAGAAAGGTTGGTTAAAAGAAGGCTGGTATCTTTTCTGTTTAAGTACAAAATATTTACTGAATATCAATTTGGATTTCTAAGCAACAAGTCCACAAATGACGCTATGTTTTCCCTCCTTAATAAAGTTTACTCCAGCCTAAACAACCATCATTCTACAGCAACAATTTTCTGTGATTTTTCTAAGGCTTTCGATTGTGTAAGTCATAAGATCCTAATTAATAAACTGCAGCACTATGGGTTCAGGGGATCATCTCTCGAATGGTTTAAGTCGTATCTGAGCAACAGAAGTCAACTTGTGAGGGTGGATACCACGTTGTCTTCTAGCAAGCCAATAGAATGTGGAGTACCACAAGGCTCAGTACTAGGCCCTATTTTGTTTCTTCTTTTATTAACGACATTGCTAACTAAACATCAGTGGCAAAATATGTCTTTTTGCGGACGACACTAGCTTCACTTGGAGCAACAAGGACATCGCGGCACTTCATAGGATTATATCAAATGACTTAATCACCATTAAATCTTGGTGCGATTCGAACCTCCTGAGTCTCAACATTTCTAAAACTAAGGCTTTGTCGTATAAAAACTCGTTGCAGCCTTTTGTACTTGACAACACCACCATTGACGTCGTAAAATCCGTAAAATTCTTAGGGCTTGTTGTGGACAATTCTCTGAAATGGGACATACATATCGAAGCTTTGTCGAAAAAATTGAGCTCTGCCTGTTTTGCATTAAGGTCTGTTTCTAAGGAGCTTAACTTGTCAGTGGCTAGAACTGTTTATTATGCACTTTTTGAGTCGCACCTCAGGTATTCCCTTCCATTCTGGGGTACGTGTTGTGCGACTCAATTTGACCGCATTTTCAAGCTCCAGAAGAGAGCTGTTCGATATTCACTGGGACTAAACAGGAGGACTCATTGCCGGGACTTTTTTAAAGTATTAAAAATATTGACTCTTCCTTCCTTATTTATATTTGAATCGGTTTGCCTAATACGTAAACATGTATCAGCTCCTCAAGAAAGGCCATCTCACACTTATCCACTCAGGAACGCGGAACAAGATCTTTATCTACCTACCCCACGCTCAGAGTTAGTTAAAAGTTCAATATTATACAACTCGAAAAAAATGCACAATCACCTACCATTTGTAATCAAATCCATAACATCATTTCTTTCATTTCGCAAAGCATTGAACTCTTATTTACTATACAAGGCTTTCTACGCCGTAAATGAATTATATTTTGAAAATCGAATTTGATCTTGTAAACACTGGTCTAATGTGTACCCTGTACTTAATTTGATAATAAGGAACCAGGAATTGAGACCAGAAATTATTTCAGTCACTTTTAGTTTTTCCACATTAATATAATTTAATTTTCGGAGTGCATGTAAAGCGTGCCATATTTTATCTAGGTTGTCTAATTCAAATCATATTAAACACGGATTTTATTAGCTCTAGTTCGAGTAGTAGGTGTTATTGCACTATTGTAGTAAGTAATAAATCTATTGATTTATTACTGTTTTAAAATCTGTAAAATCCAAAAGGCGATTTGTTTTTTCAATTCTACATTAAGCTATAAAAGTTACAAATTTTGCAATTCGTCCTAGTTTTTCCTGATATTCGTTGAAAACCTATACGAATAGAAAAACAGGTAAAAATACCATTTAGCAATGTTCCCAAAATAAAAACATCATTAACCCGATTGCTAGTTGTTTGAAAATGAGTAAAAACTGGCCAATAGGTTTAGAGAGTTCATGATTTGAAAAGCAAAATACTCTTTTTTTTTGGAAAAGGCATACAGATTATGACTGGATATACCGGGGGTGTCTCAAAAGTGGTTCACCCCTATAGCTTTTTTGTTTTTCAGATAAAAACGAGATTTAGTATGTTAGTGTATATGACATCAATTAGGATTGATTGACGTATTCAATTGTTTTTGGTCACTTAATGTTTCACCGAAAATGACTATAATTTTTTATTTTTAAATGGCACCCTCGATATATTTTTACTTTATTCGATAGAAAATGACACTTTGAATAGAATGACATTTCATATGTCAAATTTTGATATTTTCGTCTTAAAAAATCGTATTTTAAATTTCAATCTAGAGTGTTATGGCTGTGTTAAAAACACTAATTCTTAATCAAGGAGCCTTGGAAAATAGATTAGATCGTCTAATGTTTTTTTTGTGTCTTGTCCTGGCAGGTTAAAAGATGCCCAAATCGTATTTTTAATCATATCTCAGTTTGTTCAAATGGAATAAGGGTGGGTCATTACCATATTTGGGAAAAGCATTTTCTTAAGAATAATTTGGTACCACACGTTTGGAGTCAAATTGACGTTATGAACCGCATGTTACAATTTCAAATAAACATATTTTTTTTTTTTTTCATATTTTCATTCAGAGTGTTGTTCTATTCAGAGTGTCCGTTTTCTATCGAATAAAAGTTAAAAAAAAACCGAGGGTGGTCCTTTAAAAATCATAAGTTGTAGTCATTTCCGGTGAAACAGGAAGTGACCAAAAACAATTGAATACGTCAATCAATCCTAATTTATGTCATATACTAACATACCAAATCTCGTTTTTTTTATCTGAATAAATAAAAATGTTGTAGCTGTGAGTCACTTTTGAGACGCACCCGGTATATACAAGGGCTGATCGAAAAGACACTTATATAGGGTGATTCAAGCTTCCGAAAAAGCTCTATATTAGGTTTTTGGTTTGTGAATTTCATTATTTTTTGGAATAACGGGGGTATTGGTAACGCATATTTTGAAAATATTTTTGTCAACATACAGGGTGATTCAAATATATTTTCAAACTAAAGTTGTATATTGTTAAATGGAATACTATACAGGGTTGTTCACCACATAAAAACACGGAGTATTGTAGTACGAAATTTAGATTTTTTACAAATTGTAAGTTTTGGGTTCGTTGAAAGGACTATTAGAGCTACAATTTAAAAATATTTTTACAAGAATATCAGAGTGTCCCAAATAAATAAAAAATATCAAGTTGTATTTTTAATAGAACACCCTGTATATTAATTGCATTTTTTAGTTTCTTCTACGAAATTAAAATATAGGTAAAATTGATTAAGGTTTATTACTACTTAACTTTACCGTTTTTGAAAATATTTTCCAAAATTGGTTGTGAAATTGCAGTATAAATTTAAAGTTCATTTTCCGAGGGTATCAACGTTATTAAAAATAAATATTTCTGAAGTTTATTTATTATCAGTTATTGTGTTGCAATTAATAAATAAGTATACTACCTTATACAGAAGTGTCTAAAATTTATTTTTAAATAATTACTAGCTTTAAACGGCAATAACTGTTTAATTTAATGGACACCCTGTATATTTAAATGAAAGGAAGTCAGATGCACAATTTAAATTGTCTTATCAAATTGTATTATAACAAATTTTAACAATATCCTTCAAGTTTTCGTTAGAAATCATTTTCTTATCAATTTAGACCTCTAATTTATCAAATATATCCATGGAATATGACATTTTAGATTGTTTTAAAACAACAAATGTAGCAAAATATACAGGATAGTAATAATTATCGTTTTTCCCTAGTAAACGATAATATTACTAGACCATTTGTATCTATGCAAAAAGAAAACTATTTAAATCTTTTAAATAAAAGTATACCATTAATTTAAATATACCACCAGTATTTCCGCCCCAATACTAATTAATTACAAACTTAATTGGGTTTGTTAATAAATTATTCTAAAAAAAAAAAAAAAAAAAAAAAAAAAAAAAAAAAATAAAGTTAATGAAATGAAACGTCCTCTGTTTATAAATTTAAGCATTTTGTCAAAAATGAATATTCAGTTTTAAGGTGTTAGTTTTTTTCCTAACACTGTCCATCCTGTCTATTAGATATATTCAGTTATATTTATTTATTAACAATTATTATTAATCAACGAAAAAGTCAATTAATGTAGTTTTGAATACTGGGATCATATTTTGGGTCCTCTTTTTACATATTTCATACAGGTTTTTTTATTT